CCTGTCCCCTGCAGTGGTCTCTGAGAAAGGAGAAAACCCCTTTAAAGATACCTAGCCACTTGACCAATGCTGTCTGTACATGAAGGAACAACACTTCTTCTTGACCCTTGCAACCTACACCTTTGAACATGGAGATGAAATTACCTTTCTGATCTCAGTTTGCAAACCACACTTCCTCTCAAGAAGAGGGTCAATACAGCAGTAATTGGATGAAATTCTATGGACTGGGGTTATGCTGGAGGTCAGACTAGATGATTTAATGGTCACTTTTCACCTTAAAATATAGGAATCAATCTATGAAAGACTTGAATTGAGAAGGAGTGAGATACTGGGTCCAAATCTCCTCTCACTCTAATAAATCCATTGATTTCAATGGAGTTACTGCTGATGCACACAAGTGTAAGTGAAGAATCAGATCCATCATTTCCACTCCATTACTCCTAGACACTTTCACCCTCTGGAATAATCCACAACCCCCAGAGCTTTGATTTTAAACTTTCCCTAAACCTGAATTAAGGAACACTGCTGATACATTGTCTCAAACAGTTCATTTGAGAACTAGAAAGACTGGTTTTACCTGACTTAAGAATGAAACCTCAGCAATTATTTTCTGAGTCACGGCTGTAAAAATGGACAGAGGAAGATTTATATACACGGGACTATAATGTGGAGAAAGCATCTATCTTGTTTATTTAGCATATGACAATCTTTCTAGGCACTCTGAAATACAATTATTCTCCCAAAAGCGCTCTTATTCCTATTTTGTAATGCTTAGGGCTAAATGGACAATAAAACATGTATTCTATTTTATATTTTTAATTCCATTCACATTTCTGATAGCCAACCAGGACACTGTGCATTAATGCTAGAGACAAGCTTTAAACCATGGTATTAAAAACTGCACACCTGACTTTGATGTCCCTTATATATCTGTAAATCTGGAGTGACTCCCATAAAGTCAGTGGAGTTATACCACTTTGAACTAGAAGCCTGCCTCAAGATTTAAGAGTCTAACTTTACACACTGAGATTTGAAAATTTGGTATTAGGACATTAGAAATACCTTGAGAGAGTCAGAAGGATAGATCAGATTGGAGGTTGGTACCTCCCAACTATCTACTCTGTTCTGCTTCTAGTTACTAGTCAAAGATTCAGACACGTTGATTCATCTTCAAAGTATTAAGACACTTATGCAAAGTTTCCTGATGTAACACAAAATTGGGAGCACATGCAAAGTCCAGACAATGCGGTTTCCTTTCTGTTTCATATTTATTGTCCTGCCATTAAGTGAAACGATCAGAACTCAAATTCTTACATAAGGATTAATACGTAATTTCCACAGGAGATGCTAACCGACACGACTAGGAAATCATTAGTCCTAAATAAGATGGGATCCTGCTCAACATTAATGGAAAAGAATGAAAGTGGAAGATCCCATTACAAACATCCAGAATTATTCCTCCCTGCAATGGTCCCTATACCTCGCTGTGCCAGCATACAGGTGCTGGGAAAGTCCTGTAGCTGGCTGGGGAAGAATTTCCTCAGCTCAGACACTGGGTAGGCACCACTACACAAGCCCCCTGGAGGGTGCACCAATGGCAAAGGGAAGTCCCTATAGCACTGAAAACTATGTGGATTCTGGACAGTTCAGGTAACACAGGTGCCCATAAGCAGCCCAGGTAGAGCAGGTTTAACTTAGAGCAACCCCTGGGGTAGCTAGTTTACTTCAGGGGCTGCACTGGCCTCCAGCCAGCCCAGAATTGAGAGAGCACAAAGATGGACTAAAATCATTTTTACCTCCCACTGTGCTGTGGGCTGTGCCTCCTGGAGATGCAATGCACATGCTACCCTAAATCTCTATTTTGGAATGCTGATTTCTATTGATCTGCCATGTAAAAAAAACAGAGACCAGTTCACAGAACCCCAAAGACACAGTGTATGTAGTATATCTATCTAGCATAGGTGTTTCTAAAGCACTCTTCGCCTAGGAGTTGTACAAGTAAAGACAGCACCAAGTGGATTCCAAATGGCAACATTCCCACCATCTCTCTCCCTTGCAAACCTCCCTCATCTCCTCTCTCCAATAAAGAAGGCCTTATCTAGGCATGGGATCTTACATTTTGATCCTAAAAAGGCCAGTCTGCATTGCACATCTAGTCAGAACTGAAGCCTGCCCTCCATTCTGCACAAAACTGTACCCCCAGAGTACCTATCAAACAGGAGAACTGCTCTCATTTCTGAAGGCTACTGACCGGTAGCTAAAAGGCCAGCCTGGGGGGAGTTTCACCACCTTCTCGCTAGCTACAATACAAAAAGGTCAATTTACATGTTGAAAACTGCAGAACTATCCTGGGAAGCTCTGGAATTTGCTGGTTACAAGAAGTTTCATGGTAGGGAGGGTCTTGGGGAGTCAGGGTTTGATAGCAATGCTTTGCTGATACAGTGTTTTCTGCCAGCAATTGAGTCAGGAAACTCTTTAGCATAAAAGAATTAGAATTGGTCTTTTGCGGCAGTAAATCTATTTGGTATACAGCACTAAGTCCCAGAAACCATCTGCATGGCGATTCCTTGCCAGCAGCAATTCCGTGCATGCCTGTGATTTGTCTATTATAGTATCAGCGCTCTCTCTCTCCCTCTCCCTCTCAAGAGCAGACCATGGCTTTGTCTACACTGCCAACTGAATGACAAAACTTTTGTTGTTCACAGGTGCTTTAAAAAGTCCCCCCCTCTCCCCAAAAGACAAAAGTTTTGCAGTGGCAAGTGGTAGTGTAAACGGCCCGCTCATTGTCCGCAGAGCACTCTCCTGTGGACAACAAGGGGGGGTGAGGGGGGTTGAAGTATTTTGTCGGTAAAAGTGCCGACAAACCGCATTTACACTGCCCGACTTTAAGCGACACGGCCATGTTGCTAAAAGCTATGTAGTGTAGACAAAGCCCACGCTTCCCTCCCTACTCCTGGGCTGCTTAGTCTTTATCACTGCAGCGAAAAGAGTGATTGGAGAGGCTCTGTCCTGGGATGGAAGAGAGGGATTTGATCTGCATTTTCAGAAGCATCCACTAATTTTGGGTGCCCAATTTAAAACAGTATTGGCCTTGAGACTGCTGCTGCTTTGCAGAATAAGGTACTTTCCAATGTAAAAAGAACGAGGAATACCTGTGGCACCTTATAGACTAACATATTTATTTAGGCATAAGCTTTCGTGGGCTAAAACCCACTTCATCGGATGGGCTAAAAGATGAAGTGGGTTTTAGCCCACGAAAGCTTATGCCCAAATAAATTTGTTAGTCTATAAGTGCCACAGGTACTCCTCGTTCTTTTTGCTGATACAGACTAACACAGCTACCACTCTGAAACCTTTCCAGTGTAAGTGGCCCTAAGAGAGCACTGCATTGATTCACGTTGGGAAGATTTTATTCAGAACCTTAAGGGCTAGAATATTTGTAAAGTTAAAGCTTGCATCGTGCAGAAACTGACGGAAGCCCTAGAGCAGCATTGGTACTGGAAGCTACCAAGTACCAGTTCAATCTTCCCCCTCTTCATGGGAAAAGAAGACATACTTCATCTTTATCTGGAGCAAAACCACCAATCCCAGACTCACACACACTTTCTTTTTATGAATCAAGCGTTTATATTTGCTTTTAGCTTTGCTATAAAGGGTCTTTTTTGTCTTACATACCAAATGCCAAATATTTTTGTAAGAATGCTGAACCCACACTACAGCTTTTTTTCCTTCGCAAGAAACTTTAGATAACAAACATGCTTCCATGGCTCATTACCGGCTCTTTCAATTATAAATGCTTTGCTTTTTAATTGGAAGTTTCAGGGGAACGGATGGCTTAGGGTCACAAGTTCAAACCTCCTATGTCAGTAACAGCCAAAGCCCCGATCTTGCAATTTGTGTTTTTCTGGGTCTTTCACACAGCAACAAGGAACAGATAAGCATTTTTAAAATTTGTTTAATTAGAACATTATGATTGTAAACCACAACAATTGTCAGGCTGGGGATTACGTGTAGGATCTGAGGCCATTTTTAACTCTTTCTTTTTAATTGACTAATTTTGAAGTTGAGAATGTCCCTTTACGTACTTATAAAGGATTAAGACTAATACTTATAAGTGTTTGATAAAGAATTAACTGATCTGGAGGTCAACATAACACCCTCTCGAGTGAGCAGAAATACTGAGGCCCTTACTCCACAATGCACAGATGGACTGAAGTCAATAGGACTGCGTGGGTTTAGCAGTTTACCTTTGTGTTGTAAGTTACAGGATCAGGGCCTGACATCTCAAATCTACTCAGAATTTCACACACACACACACACACACACGGCTGGTGCAACCCATTAGGCGACCTAGGCAGTCGCCTAGGGTGCTAGAATTTGGGGGACGGCGACCGCGGCGGAATTTCGGAGGCGGGACCTTCTGCTGCCTCTGTGGGGGGCGGCATTTCGGGGCAGGACCTTCCGCCGCCAAGGGCGGCAGAAAAGCTGGCGGCGCTCCTGCACACACACACACACACACACACACACACACACACACACACCTACAATATCTTCTGA